TCAATATTTTGCCAATATTTTAGTAAATTAATGTTTTTGTTGGCATACATTATGTTTGTTTTAACTTGTTTATAGAGTTTTAATGCCAAAAAATTAGGTTTTGTAATAATCAGGAGTGTTTTATTAGTTGTATGTACGACTGTGACTGTATTGGTTATAAAAATAACGGATAATGTCAGTCTCCATTCTGCTACAGTTTGTAAAAGTTTTAGAAAACCTTGTTTTAATTGTTGGGTTTTGGCAGCGTTCAGCCTGCTGCTGTTCTATCTTCTGATTTTCATCTTAAAGATTTCTCCACATTAAAGTTTCAACATTAATCCCAGCTATTCTTTAGTTGTGACTCCTCTTCACTTATAATAATAGTAATGATGCATTTTATTTTAAAAGCGCCTCTCAGGACACTGTACAGCTAAAAACATCAAAGTGAAGAAGAAATGAAGTAATGACTGAGAAAATACAATAAAGTCAAACTTTAAAATAAAAAGTATGACTGCCTGAATGAAGAAGGATAAACAGATGGATCTTTAGAGGCGTTTTGAAAAGTCGGAGAGGTGATAATTTGTAGTTCGATGTCTGGATCAGAGTGGTTGAATGTCTTCATGGTGGTGAGACAGGTAGAAGAAACGGAGGTGAAGGGAGATCTGAAGGAGTGGGAAGGGATGGAGACATGCAGAAGGTCATAAATATGGAGGGGTGAGATTTGGGATGGCTTTGAAAGTGTAAAGATGAATTTTGAAGGTGACTGAGATTTGACCAGGAGCCTATGAAGATGCAGGAGGACGGGAGTGACATGGTTATAGGAGGTTTGGGTGTCACATGCAGCTGAGTTCTGACCCATCCGTAAGATTTGAAGGGATTTATTGGGCTGCCCAAAACAAAGGGAAGTACCGTATTTTTTAGACTATGAGACGCACCGGATTATAAGGCGCAATATAAATGAACGGGTCTGTTTTCATACATAAGGCACATTAAGCAAAACAAAACAGATAAGTCAAACTTTATTCAGCTCATTCACAATAACCACATAAAATTGATCCGAGGTCAGTAAGCACAACCAGAATTAATACGTAAAGTGCACCTGATTATAAGGCTCACTGTCGATTTTTGAGAAAATTAAAATATTTTTAGTCGAAGACCACGAGGAGAGACACGTGTCAGAAGACAGAGAGAGAAGAGGAAAGTGAAGAATGTAGGACTGAGGGTTGCAACTCTAAGTGCGGGGACAGTGACAGGCAAAGGTAGAGAGCTGGCTGACATGATGCAGAGAAGAAAGGTAGATGTTTTATGTGTCCAAGAGACCAAGTGGAAGGGCAGCAAGGCTCGCAGCATTGGAGCAGGGTTCAAACTGTTTTATCATGGTGTGGATAGAAAGAGAAATGGGGTAGGGGTGGTCCTAAAGGAGGAGTTGGCAAAGAATGTAGTAGAGGTGAAGAGAGTGTCAGATAGGGTGATGTGCCTGAAGGTAGCTGTAGAAGGTCTGATGCTAAACATCGTCAGTGGTTATGCTCCACAGATTGGATGTGATGAGGAGGAGAAAGATACATTTTGGAAAGATCTGGATGAAGTGATAGAGAGTATTCCCAGGGAGGAGAGAGTGGTGATCGGAGCAGACCTGAATGGACCTGTTGGTGAAGGAAACAGAGGGGATGAGGAAGTGATGGGTAGGTTTGGTGTCAAGGAAAGAAACCAGGAAGGACAGATGGTGGTGGATTTTGCCAAGAGAATGGAAATGGCTATAGTCAATACCTATTTCCAAAAGAGGGAGGAACATAGTGTGACCTATAAGAGTGGAGGAAGGAGTATGCAGGTCGACTACATTCTGTGTAGAAGAGGAAACCTGAGGGAGATTGGAGACTGTAAGGTTGTGGCAGGGGAGAGCGTGGCCAGACGGCATCGGATGGTTGTGTGTAGAATGACTGTTGTTGTGAAGAATACAAAAAAAGTAAAATCAGAGAAGAAGACCAAATGGTGGAAGATGAAGAAGGAAGAATGTTGTGAGAAATTCAGAGAGGAGCTGTTAAAGGCTCTGGGTAGTAAGAAAGAGCTTCCAAGTGACTGGACTACTACAGCAACAGTAATTAGAGAGACAGGTAGGAAGGTACTTGGTGTGTTATCTGGACAGAGAATGAATGATAAGGAAACCTGGTGGTGGAATAGTGAAGCAAAGAAAGAGGTTCGCCAAGAAGCAATATGACAGTGAGAGGACTGAAGAGAGGAGACAGGAATATAAGGAGATGGGATGTAGAGCAAAGAGGGAAGTAGCTAAGGCAAAGCAGAGGGCGTACGATGAGTTGTATGGGAGACTGGACACTAAAGAGGGTGAGAAGGACTTGTACCAATTGGCAAGACAGAGGGATCAGGCTGGAAAGGATGTGCAGCAGGTTAGGCTTGTTAAAGATAGGAATGGTAATGTTCTAACAAGTGAGGAGAGTGTGACGGGAAGATGGAAGGAGTACTTTTAGGAGCTAACGAATGAAGAGAATGAAAGAGAAAGAAGAGTAGAGGTCATAGAAACTGTGGACCAGGAAGTGGGAAAGATTAGTGAGGGTGAAGTCCAGAAAGCTCTGAAAAGAATGAAGAAGAGGAAGGCAGTAGGACCTGATGACATACCAGTGGAGGTTTGGAAATGTCTTGGAGAAATGGCAGTGAGGTTTTTGACTCAAATATTCAAAAGCATATTTGAGGGTGATAAAATGTCTCATGAATGGAGAAGAAGTGTGCTGGTGCCTATTTTTAAGAACAAGGGTGATGTACAGAGTTGTAGCAACTACAGGAAAATTAAGTTGATGAGTCACACAATGAAGATCTGGGAGAGAGTTGTGGAAGCAAGACTTCGACGAGAGGTGACTGTGAGCAGCAGTATGGTTTCATGCCAAGAAAGAGCACTACAGATGTTATATTTGCTTTGAGGATGCTGATGGAGAAGTACAGAGAAGTTCAGAAAGAACTCCATTGTGTCTTTGTGGATTTAGAAAAAGCATATGACAGGGTGCCAAGGGAGGAGGTGTGGCATTGCATGAGGAAATCTGGAGTGTCAGAAAAGTATGTTAGACTGGTACAGGACATGTATGAGGACAGCAGGACAGTGGTGAGATGTGCTATAGGAGTGACAGATAGCTTCAATGTGGAGGTGGGATTGCATCAAGGATCGGCTCTGAGCCCCTTTTGTTTGTTCTGGTGATGGACCGACTAACAGAGGAGGTCAGGCAAGAATCCCCATGGACGATGATGTTTGCAGATGACATTGTGATCAATGGTGAGAACAGGGAACAGGTGGAAGAGAAATTGGAGAGATGAAGGTATGCACTTGAAAGAAGAGGAATGAAAGTCAGCCGTAGTAACACAGAGTATATGTATATAAATGAGAGGGAGGCTGGTGGAACAGTGAGGCTACAAAGAGCAGAGGTCACAAAGGTGCAGGACTTCAAGTACTTGAGGTCCACTGTCCAGGAAAATGGGGAATGTGGTAAAGAAGTGAAAAAGAGAGTCCAGGCAGGATGGAGTGGATGGAGAAAAGTTTCAAGAGTGATTTGTGACAGAAGGGTGTCAGCAAAGGTCAAAGGAAAAGTTTACAAGACAGTGGTGAGACCAGCTATGTTGTATGGTCTGGAGACAGCAGCATTGCCAAAAAGACACGAGCAAGAACTGGAAGTGGCAGAATTGACGATGCTAAGGTTCTTCTTAGGAGTGACAAGACTGGATAAGATTAGGAATGAGATAATCACAGGTACAGCACAGGTTGAACAACTGGGAGATAAAGTTAGGGAGGCCAGACTGAGATGGTTTGGACATGTCAAGAGGAGGGACCGTGGGTATATTGGTAGAAGGATGTTAGAAATGCCGCTGCCAGGAAAAAGACAAAGAGGAGATATATGGATGCAGTTAGAGAGGACATGAAGGTAGTTGGAGTGAGGACAGCGGATGCAGAGGACAGGGTGAGGTGGAGGAGGACGATTCGCTGTGGTGACCCCTGAAGAGGGAAAAGCCAAAATAATAATAAGAAAAGATTTTAAGTGCGCCTTATAGTACGAAAAATATGGTACAATCATTGGTTTGAGATGTCACAAGACTGTGGACAAGGATGGCAGTGGTGTGAGGGGTGAGAGAAAGGCGGGGACGGTTAACATTATGTAGTGGAAATGAGTGGACTGGGTGACAATACTGATGTGTGACATAAGGAAAAGGGAGTGTTCGATGATCACACCCACACTTGACCTGAGGTGAAAGCAGAGTTACAGTAAGTGTTAGGAGAAGACGTCCAAATTTGGAAAATGTTCTTACTACCGGTGAGGATGAGTTCTGTTTTATCACTGTTTAGTTGGAGAACATTTTAAGAAAACTGGTGATTGAACTCACTTACACAAGTATTGCGGATGGAGGTTTGAATCTGGATTGGTAGACCAGTAGAGCTGGGTGTCGTCTGCGTAACTGGAAACCGATAACCAGTTTACAGAAATGTGATAATTATGGTATAGGTGAGACTTTTAATCAGTGAAGTTGGCTTAATTGTCGCCCGTTGCTGAAAGGCAAACTATAGTTAACCCTGTCTGTTAGTAAAATATCTCATGAACCATGGAAGTCTCAAAGTAAACACTGGCCTCACATCTACAACTTGAGTAACTTTTGGAGTTAATCTAATTCCACGTAGTTGCCACAACTAAACCTTTGCAAACACAAAAATGATCATGATAATGCTAATTTTACCTCCCGCCATATTGCACATTATATCATAAAGGTTTGACCAAAACAACTGTGACTTTGGCAAGATGGACGTCAGGTGATATGCGTTCCTTCAAGGAGATGCTAACTTTATTCATGTATGTTTTACTGCTTCTGTGTTCAGGTTACTACCTCCTACCTTAAAAATGTCTACGTTTACTCCATAAGTTAGCAATACTTATGCTTGTATAGTTCCCTTATAAATACTGATGTTTTGTGAAAAGAGGAGTGGACACTTTATGGACTGAAATTACATCCAAACTCAGAAAAAAACAAGAAAGTGTGGAGTGAAAATCATTTTATTTAGTTATCAACCTAAGGATCCGCCCCCTACACACAACAACACAACATCTGAGCTTCACTACAGCACAGCTTGCTGCCCTCGGATTATTATGAGCAGTGCAGGTGTGTGTGTGTGTGTGTGTGTGTGTGTGTAGGGACCTTCAAACCAGATAAAAAGACACAGCGTGTCAGTTATGTCAGTGTGTGTGTGTGTGTGTGTGTGTGTGGAGTGTGTGTTCCCCTGTGCTTCAACAGTGCGATATTGTCTCTTATCACACTCTTGGCTGTAAATCAGTGGTGTTGTCGGGTTGGGGCGGCTGTCAAGTCAAGAAGGGATGAATGGTGCCTGTGGGTCTCAGCCTCCTTTTAGTGCTGGATACGCCTGATGGACTGGATCTGGGGGGTCTGACAGTGAGAGCCCCAGTTCCTCCAGTGCTGGTAGTCTCCACTGTGTCTCTCGCACTCCATGATGTACTGCTGGCCCCTGTAGCCTGGGTACTGGTAGCACACAAAGCTGTGGGGAGACAGGTTTTAGAGATGGGAGTTAGTGCAAAGTCTGGGTTTTTAGCTCCATGGAACTGGGCAACATGCAGCCTGAGGCCCGGTCCTCAACAATATTTAAATAAATAAATCAAATTCATGCATCTTGAGGTGAATTAAAACAGACTAAACAAATTAAAAAACACTGATTCTAATTAGTGTTAATTTTTTCTGTTACAAATTTTTAACTCAAATACGCCAAATTGTTGTTGCCTTATGTCCGAGTGTGTAAAATATGTTACAAACTTATTATTAGAAAATGTCTTAACGTCTTGGCTAAATGGTTATTGTTATTATTGGACTGTTGCATTTTTCTAAAATCTAAAATAAATACATCCACAGACAGACTTACGCTCCGCACTGCACGTGCATGGAGCCCACTTCAGGCATCATCCAGCCCATGGCCTGCAGAGAGGGGTAGTCATCGCAGACCTCCACGCTGCGGCCCATGAAGTTCTCCCTCTCGAAAATGATCATGCGACTGCTCTGGTGAGACTGAAGGGGACACACGCAGACACGGTTTGATTCTGTAGATCTGTGAGGTGTGGGTCAGGTGGACTGGTGGGAGTACTTACAGCGCAGTAGATGGGGCGCAGGGACATGAGGCGCTCCACGTGGTAGGAGACAGACCCGCTGTAGGAGTCCCAGTGGGGGTACTCGCCTCTCTCCAGGATGAACTGCTGGCCCTGGAAGTCGTGGTGCTCAAAGCCCACCCAGCTTCATGAACACATATAAAAAGTCACTTTACGCATCTATGTTCAGAAACATTTCATCTATATTCAGAAACATTTAGGGGGAAGTTGTGCAGGTTTTCTTTCTTGTGAGACTTACGCGCCACTCTCCACCCTGATGGAGCGGATGTTGTCCAGGCCGCACTCCTGGATGTTGCAGCACTCAGAGGTGAACTCCAGGTACTTTCCCTGGAAGTGCTCCTGCTCGAACACGGTCACCTGAGGAGAAAGAGCAACTTTTATTCTCTTTCCCTCTCATTTATGTCAGAGATGCACTTTAAATAATTAAAAAATCACAAGTTTACATCTCATCTTTTTTTTTTCTTTATATATTTTCCTAAACTTACTAATAATCTTAACTGCTATTATTTGTTGCACAGGTGAGGGTGCGTTTTACCTTGAAGAAAGGAGCCATGCCCATTCCTGAGTTGACCAGCGGCTGCATCATTTGGGACTTGGTAGTTCTGTACATCTTGACCCCTGATGAGGACAGAGATGAAGACAAGTGCAGAGATGGTTTGAGGAAGAACAGTGTCAAAGATGATGTTGAAACTCCTCTATTGGTGATTACTGATATCTGTTTGCTTGTTGGGGGAAAAAAAAGTTAAAACATCTGTAGAGGAGAGGGAAGTTTGGGGGTAAAATGGTCCACAAATGGTGTCGGACGGTGCTTCAGCTGGACTGAGAGCAGAGACCTTACCTATAGACTTTAATGGAAGAGTTCGGGAGTGGTACACGCACCTACTGCCTGCTTCGCGTAGAGCTTTGACAGAACCTGGCGCTTCAGTTTTATACCAACAGTGCGCGTCCACGCCTCTGGCAGCAGAGGTATGGAGGTGCCCCCCCACGGGGGCGTGGGGGGGCCTGCCCTCCACCCAACCCCCTGCTGTCCCGCTCCAGCGACCCCAGCAGGCCAGCTCAGCAGATCCTATAGAGCTCCAGGGGCTGGAGAACAAAGGCGCTCCGGTATGTTCGGGCCCCGGTCAGCAGTCCAGCGAGCGTCCCAACAACAAAGGGCTGAGGTGGGGGGGCATGAGGCGTAATGTGTGGGATTAATGCAGCAGCAGAGAGGCCCACTGATACATACAACTGGGTTAGAACATATGTGTTGAGACGCTGTCAAAAAACCAAATTTTCTTCTTGTTGTCTTGACTTCCGATGCAGCCACACACACGCCTTCAGGTGGGCGCGCACGCAGGTGTGCACTCAGGTTGCCAAAGCTGGCCTCAGGACCCCACTGTGGGTCAGGAGACCCCAAAAATGTGGTTCTCGAAATGATCTTCATAAATCTAAATATATTTTAGAATGTTTTATTTTTAAATAAAGGTTTAGAACATGTTTCAATCACATAAAAATATAAGATAATAAAAGACAAAAATATAGTAGCTGCTTGTTTCGTCATTAAGTCTTTGTTTAATTGACTTGGTAACAAATTTTAATTATTTAAATAAAGTCCAAGCATTGTTTGAAGAAATGCAAATCCCTTCTGGCTTTCATGAAAGTATTTTAGACCAAGATCATATCATGTTGAAAAATTATGAAGACATTTTGATCAAATCAAAGTTCCTGTTTTTAGCATTTTTCACCATTTTATTTATTCAACCTTTATTTATACAGGTTAGTCTCACTGAGCCTCGGGGGCTCATTTACAAGAGAGACCTGTTTGTTTTTAACAAAGAATGATGATAACAGTGGAGAATCATTAAAAAAAGCATACAAATTAAGAAAAATAAATGAAAGAAAATGATATAAAAAAACAGCTAGATTATAAGGCAATGTAGAAAACTAAAAACATGAACATGTCTGTGTTGGTTTTTCCCAAGAACTTAACAGATGTTTGAAGCCACTTAGAGAGGTCAAGGTCAAGAGCTTCAGATCTTTTTGCAAGATATTCCAAGAAACAAGAGCAGAGTAGGAGAAGGCCCTTTTGCCAAGTTCAGTCCTCACTGAGGGATCACTGCAGGTAATAATGTCCTGAGAGCGCACGCTGTAGCTGCACTCACGCAGAGACATGTAGGAGGAGATGTATGAAGGCAGCAGACCAAGAAGTGATTTAAAGATGAAAATGTACCAGTGAGAGAGTCTGAGTGAAGTTAATGATGACCAGTTAACCAGTGAATACAGGGTGCAGTGGTGGGTATGATAGTTACAGCCAGTTATGAATCTTAGCGCACCATGATAGACAAAGTTCAACAGCTGCATGGTGCTTGTAGGAGCATTCATGTAAATAATATCACCATAATCTATTGAGGGAAGGAAAGTCACAGTTACAAGGTGTTTCCAAGCATTCAAAGTTAGACAGGATCTGTTTCTGGAAAAGAAACCCAGTTTAACTTTTAGTTTCTTTACCAAGTTTTCCACGTGGCGCTTAAAAGAGCGATGCAAATCGACCAAGATACCCAAATATTTGTAGGAATCGACAAACTCAATAGGAGCACCATTTGAAGATAAAATCGATGGAAGAACTGCTGGGACTTCCTGTTTGAAAACAACAACCCTGTGGTTTTGTCGGCTTTTTGTACAAGCTTGAGACAGAACAAATCTAACTGGGTGATATCAAAAGCAGATTGTAAAAGCTGGAAAACCTTAGCAACTGTTTTAGCTTGACAATAAACAACTGTGTCATCAGCATTGAAATGCAAGGATGCATCATGGTCTGACCTACATTACCTATGTAGATTGTGAAGAGGGTGGGTCCTAAGACTGAGCCTTGTGGTACACCATTGTTAACCGTTAAATAACTGGAAGAAGTACCATTATGTTGAACACATTGCCTCTGATCTGGAAGATAGTTAGAGAACCAACTAATGGTGTGATCTGAGAAACCAATTTCTGAGAGCTTATGACACAAGATGTCATGGTCCACAGTGTCAAAAGCTTTAGACAGGTCTAAATAAAGTGCAGGACAATAATCCTTAGCATCCAATGCTTCAACAATGTCATTAAAAGCCAGTCATTGTGTTGTGTTGTTTCCTGGGGAAGTAAGATGTTAAATGAGTCCAAACACTTTTTGATTTGAGAGTTTATGAGTTTTTCTAGAACATTAGCTAAAATGCAGTTTAGAGATTGGTCGATAGTTGTTCAGTAAGGTGGCGTCTCCTTAACCTCATATAATGTAGCTGTTTTTTTTGTTTTTGTTTTGTTTTTATATCATTTCTTCTATTTATTATTATCATTTTATATGCTTTTGATATGATTGTCTATCGCTGTCTGTACCTCATCTGTGTTTTTTGTTAAAAGCAGGTCTCTTGTAATTGAGTCATCGAGGCTCAATGAGTCTAAGCTTGTATTAATAAAGGTTGAATGAATGAAAAATAAAACCTTGAAAATAAAGTTTTGCTCACTCTCCTGAGATGTTGCCAGATGTGTTAAAGATTCTCAGCTCCACTTTAAATTTTCACACATTTTCTGTAAAAATGGACTTGTTCATAACAATTGTCATGTTTTCTAATGTCAGCTGACTGTGGTGGCCATTTTGAATTGTAGACTTACATTAAATTGTGATTTTCTGCAAGTTCTAATAAAATCCATCCAGTGGTTCATGAGACTTTTCTCTAACAGACACACAGACATGAGCAAAAACATTTTCATCCACCCTGCGAGTGGCGAGCGACAATCAGCCGTTAAGATTTAAATCACTTTAATAAATTAAATCAATGGTCTACCGCTGTTCACACTTAAGAAACAAACTGTTTCTTGACCTGCAGTATTGACAGGTATCACCCAAGCAGAGGATCAAGGTTTCAGTCCTGCAGCATCGTGAAGTAACACTGAGCAAGTAAAAGTGTAAAATATCCGTTTATATAGTTAGGCTCTTGTGAAGTCATCAGTCAAAAATCTGATCTTTGTTTTAGCTTTGATTTACTCTCCTGCGCCATCTGTTCGTTTTGTCACTTTATAAGTGGGAGAATCTTTTACTTTGTGTATTTAAAACTTTATCAAAGTTTGTGGTGATAAATGAAAGTAAAACTAGACGCAGGTTAACGAAGCGTGGCACATGTTAGAAGTCAGTCACCGTCCTGCTAACATTTACCAGGACAGAGCTATCAAATGTAAAACATGAAGCTCAGAGAGAGACTCCGCCCGTCCCTCTCTGATGATGCTGGCATTCTTTTGTCTCCCTCCTCTGACCTCAGCAGGTTTATTTCTCTCCCCATAATCCCTCTCCTGTGGGCGCCAGCGTATAAAAGCCAGGGTCACCCGTTGAGCTGCACACACTCAGTGAGTCTCGGTTCAGACATCGCACACACAAACAGGTAAGGTGCACCTGCGGGGCGAGCACGGGCAAAGTTTAGTGGCTTTTTTTGATCCGAATGTTGATTCAGTGAACTCGTATTGGTGAAGTCAGGTGGATTAAACCTCCATCTCTCTTGTTTTTCTGTTCAGCAATCATGTCCAGTGGAGATAAGGCCAAGAGCTCTTCCCAGACTGACGGCAAGGCCACTCAGGGCAAGAAGTCTGAGATGGGAATGATGTCCTACAAGGTGGGTGGCGATCATAAAACTCCTCTCAGATAATGGTGCACTTTGATTTTACCACGAAAAATGGATAATTATTGTGTCTTCGTGCATTTTCTCCCACCAGATGTACGTGTTCGACCAGGAGAACTTCCAGGGTCGCATGATCGAGATCACCAACGAGTGCATGAATGTGTGTGAGATGGGCATGGACCGTGTGCGCTCCCTGCGTGTTGAGTGTGGACCGTGAGTCAGATCTTTGTCATCCTCATTGGTTTTGTTCTAAGTCTTTTGTGGGCACTTCGTAACTCTGTGTCTCCCTGCAGCTTTGTGGGATTTGAGCAGATGAACTTCTGCGGCGAGATGTACATCCTGGAGAAGGGAGAGTATCCTCGCTGGGACTCCTGGAGCAACTGCCAGAGGAACGACTACCTGCTGTCCTTCAGGCCCGTCAGGATGGTACAACGCAGTTCCTGTCTTCTCCTACACATTTCCCTCTTTTAGCTTTAGAGCCTTCTTTAAATGAGTTGTTCTTTAATCCTTTAAGGACCCTGAGAAGCACAAGATCTGCCTGTACGAGGTGGGAGAGTTCAAGGGCCGCAAGATGGAGATCATGGACGACGACGTCCCCAGCCTGTTCTCCTACGGCTTCACAGACAGAGTGGGCAGCGTGATCGTCAGCTGTGGAACGTGAGTACGGCGCACCGACGAGGTGATTTCAAACGTCGAAACAAACTAAAACAGCACCCTGACATGTTTCCTGTTTGACCCCAGCTGGGTGGGATACCAGTTCCCTGGATACCGTGGCAGTCAGTTCCTGCTGGAGAAGGGCGACTACAGGCACTTCAACGAGTACGGCGCCCGCTGCCCCCAGTTCCAGTCCGTGAGGCGTATCCGCGACATGCAGTGGCACCCACACGGCTGCTACACCATGGCCAGCAAGTGAGGCTCGGGGAAGGAGAGGAAGAGGAAGAGCGGAAGTGAGGGAGAGGGGCGGAGGAAGAGGGAGAGGGGGAGAGACACCTGAGGTCTTTATCTAACACGGAGCGAGGGTGAGGATCATCTCTAGACACCCACCCAGACTACAGACGAGACCGCAGAACGACCAGCCGGACCACCCTCCACCCCTCATCTTTCTCTTCTTGCCCTCTGAGCTGAGCTTTGCTGTTTCCTCCTCCCCCTCTCCATTTTCTCCCCTTTTTTAAACCCCTCCCTTCACACCCCTCCACAGTCCACGGAGACCCCAAAAAGGAAGCAACGATACCTCTTGTTGTTTTACACACACACGATTCTCGGCTCAGGGTTATGATGCACCATGGGAAACTGAGTTCCCGGAGCTCCCTACGTCCTCCTGCCCCTGTGCTTTACATCCCTCTCTGCTGTACAGAATCCTGGCCAAGTTTTCAATAAAAAGACGAATCTTGATTTCAAACATGTCTGTCCTTTAATTTCTTCATGAGAAGTTGCTCGTAAAAAGGAAATGGTTTATAAAAAACAGAAAAAAGTGACTATTACTGGAAAAAAGGTAGTTTAAGATGTGTTTCCTTGTTAAACTACAGTAGTTTGTATAAAGCTTAGCAGAGTCAATACTCTGACTATAATAGTGTACCAGCATTGCTACAGCTAGCTGCTACTACCATTGGCAATCACCAATAATTATACAATTATATTTGAATAACTATATTATATGAGAGGTCTGACTGGTTCAAGGAAACATATTTTGTTGTTATTTGTAGTTTCAAAGTGCACCCGTAACTCTCGGCTACAACAGTAATAAAAAGCTAAACAAATACCGACGAGTTCGGGAGAACAAAGTGTTAATTAAAACACTGGTTTGACTTTTTATTCAACAACTAAACATTATTTCAAAATATAGAATCAACTAAACAAATCTTCCTCATTTTTTTAAGTGGCCCTCAAACGTTGTCATAGTTCAAAGAGCAATCTGCAACAGGTAAGATATTTATTGTTCATAATCCTTACCCAACCCTGCAGCTCTGAGCTATTTAGTCCTGGTTTCTATTTGGTGAGATTGTAGTTGTTGTGTGAGGCTGATGTTTTTATTTTTTATTTGTATGTTTTTTATTTTATTTTGTGCTTTAACTAATTCCACACATTTTGAGGTGTTTTAGCGATTGACTAATCAAAATGTTCAGCTCATTCGGGGAAATGGGTGCAATGACTTCTGGTTTTGTAACTTTAATACTTGTTTAAAAATATTTGCATTTATTTACAACTATTTTCCCAGAAGAAATACATGAAATCTCCACCATCCCTTCAAAAACATTGTTCTTATTGAACTCTTCTTCAGAAGACTTACTCTGTTTTTGTCTTCTTTGGCTACTTTTAATTTAGAGATACAGTTTGAAACTTTTAGCTTTAAGCTACATCCTTCTTCTTTTAGCAAGTTGTTTAGCTATCGTTTTATTACTTTTAGCTTCTAACTAGCCTTTTGCATTTTTATCTAACCTTTGCTATAACTTTTAGCTACCATTCTGGTGCTTTAGCTTCAACTAGTCTTTTGATACTTTTAGCTTTAAGGTAGTTGTTTGCTACATTTAGCTTTTAGCTACTTTTTTGTTACGTTTTAACTAGAATTTTGCAACTTTTGCCTTTTAGCCAGTGTTCTCCTTTTTCTTTCTGACTACCTCAGTGTTCTGCATGCGACGTATTCACACCATAAATCAGAATAAGGTTTAGTTATTTATTAAGAAAAAGTTTTTATTTTCATCTACAAATATGATTTAGCAGTCTCAAAACAAAAACTCACATATAAAAAAATACATAAAAACCAAGAAACAGTCATTTTACTTGTTAAGCTGCTGATATGTTTTCCACCTAATCATTTTCAGTTTGTTAATATTGTTCTTAAAGATAAATAGAAAAATATATATTTAAATAAATAAAATATAAAGTTCACTGCAGTGGCGTTTTCTCTCATCCAGAAGGGCCGGTCGGCTGACATCAGATCACCGGGACATCATTCTCACAAACTCTGAAAAGGCAAAAACAAATGAATGAAGGCAGTGGGATAAACAATAAAACCTTAAAATAAATCCTCTCAATCCTCTGTTTTACCCTCAAAGTCCACTAGACCATCTCCATTCAGATCAACATCTTTGAGGATCTCATTGATCTCTTTGTTGGTCACTTGCTCTCCCATCAGCTTCTTCATGGCCTCCCGCAGCTCCGTCAGACTGATCTGACCGTCCCCGTTAGAGTCAAACTGAATACAATACAAACAGACAGAAATTAAAAATCATAATAAAGGGAAAAAGCAGGAAAAAAATTAGAAAAAAAAAAAGGAAGTCACCAGTTCTCAGAATGGTGATTCAAATGTGTGTAGTTTTTCATTTCACCACTAGGTGTCAGTAAAGTAAAGATTCATCTCACGTCCCAGTTAGTCTGGTTAAATTTCTTTGTCATAACTATTTTTATTTATTTACTAAAACTAGAATTCATATAAGGTTTAACACCAAGAAGGAAACACTTTAAAATATCTGTTGTCTTCCATGGATCTTTCAAGTTTATGAGACCATTTTTAAACAATTTAGAGTCCTTGAGGTGGAAATTAGCCCAGACTGTTTTCAAAGAAATGTACGTCCCTGCAAGTTCACCACGATGTCAGGCTGCAGGAAGCTTCACCTCAAACTCTACGTACCTCAGTTATCAGGTTAAATCTTAATGTGCAGGCTAGTAAAAACAAGTAGGATGTTTAAAAAGGTTGCACGAATAAAGCCTCTAAAATAACACGAGTGAACAGTTCAGGTCTGTAAATCTGGAAGTGAACAAACCCCTAAATGTCTGAAAACATGTCCTTTGTCACATTTGATGAAAACAAAAACAAGTCAAGTTGGTGAAAATATGAAAAACATAAGTGGTTGTTTTTTCCTAGTTTGTGTCACTTAATGACAAAAATCTGACTTTAGGAAAATCTAGGAGTTTTATTATTACCTATTGAGAAGCAGAGCCACTGAAACTGAACAAAAAGAGCTTCTAATGGAACTGTGTGAAACAAGTTTTGTAGCCCACTCCATGTTTAGCTCCTCTACATTTGCACATTGTTTACTAAATGCACCCTGATACTACTCCTTTTGTTTTTAAGTCTTATTTCTTTGCAGATTTGGCTCTTTTGAATCAAACGTGGCAGCAGCTGTTAATATTTTGTGTCATTAACTCCTGACTTTACGTTTGAAATCCCAGCCCGTCCATCCTGACCTCTTTGAAAGCGTCTCGTAGTTCTTTTACTCCGATCATATCTGCCGTCTCTGCCAGCATCTTGGGCCCCATGAGCTCCACAAAGTCCTCAAAGTCTATCTTACCTCCACCTAAAGCACACAAAGAGTCAGGATTAAAATAAAGAACGGATCGGAGGATTTTCCTCAGACCTGAGAGGTTTTTCTCTTCACTCACTGATCTGCTGGCTCAGTTCGATCAGCTCCATCTCTGTGGGCATGTAGCCCATGGTCCTCATGCACTCCCCCAGGTCTCTGTGACTGATGTAGCCCTTCTTGTTCTTATCGAACTCCACGAAGGCCTCTCTGAGCTCTGATCCAAAGCAGCAACACACCAGTCAGATACGAACAGGCTTCTTTAAAGTGCAACTCGTTTGCTGATGTCTCACCTTCGAGCTCCTCAGGTCTCAGCTCTCTGTCCTGTTGGAAAGACACATTGATCACGTTAACGTCTTGTGTCCTGCAGGGACAAAAACACTCAGGTCTCACTTAAAAACACCTAAAGATGTCCCTCTGAAGGTTCATTCAACAAATGAGTGAAACGGCACATGAAATACTGAAAAATGAGTGAAAGATAAACATTTTTATGTGATTACATCTGATTAAAGTCTAATTAAAGAGCTTATGTGTAATTAAACTACATAACAAATTAGTTAATTTATCTGTGAGCTGTAACAAATCAGGGATAAGTTAAGTCTCTTTGCATAAATAAATCATTTAGTAAAATTTGTTAGACACCTACAAACAAAAATACAAATGTGCAAAAGTTTTTAAAGCCCCTAATTTGTTTTTACATTTTGCTTCAGAGGAGCCAAACCTTCAGATAATTTCTGAAAGAGGTCCTGATCAGCAGAGGCTTTAAGCTTTCTTTGGACTTGAGCTCCTGGATTTGGTTTACATGAAAGCCAAGTCTGAGCAAATGAGGGATGATTTTATACAAATCTGCATGTGATGTGCTATTAAGAACAAAACTGAACACAAAGGAGACGCTGCGGGTCAAAATTAAACCAAGAACTTAGTGGAAACAACACGAGTCTAATATGTTTGTATCATTTGATGTTTATTTTAGTTGCATTAATATTTGCCATGAGCTGTTTATTGATAATGTTCTTTTGTTTTTTCCACAGTGAACTAAACGATGTGCAGAAATAACGTCTGTTTTTAACCACGCTGGACAAAACCTGCAGATAATCTCCACCAAGTGAAACAAAGTGTGAGGTTTTCTCAGGGTTTAATGATTGCATCATGGTCTCTCTCTATCTGTTTTTATATTTTAAGTGATATTAAACATTAAAGAGCCTTTTACAAGAACATTAGCTCAGATTGTTTCATCCACGTTTTCCTGGTTGGAGCTGCAGCTCCAGTCAATGAGTTTCCATTAAAGTCACTGATCAATCACTGGCTCTGCTTCAACCAGGAGGGGGTTGATTCTGTGACGCAGGCCTCCGATGACAGGAGGGGGAGGGGGGGAGGCAGGATGCAGCGGATGCGATGAAGGGTGAGGATGGAAACAAACAGACATGAGCGGAAAAGTCGTGCGTTGCAGCCTGGATGAAGCCCCGTCTGAGCAGGCTGCACGTACGATGCTGCAGCTCTTCACCAGGACCCCTGAACAGAACCTGACCCTCCAGCTGGAGCCCCCACAGGCCCCTCACTGAGGGCCCATGAACCCCTCCCCCCCCCCCCCTTTCAGAGGCGGATAAACATCACTCGTCACACGTAAACCTGTCATAGCTCTGCTCTCTGTCAGCTCCTCTGTCATGCTGCACACTCAGTAATCACTCAACTCATGTCACCTGTCACCGCTCATTATCCCACAGCTCCACCACCTGGTCCAGTCAGTACTTAAGCTCACTCATTCCTCTCAGTCTGGGCCAGATTCTCTATCCTGTCTCATCAGCAGTAGACTTTCCAGCATTCCATTGATTGACTCATCACGTTCATGACCCTTGCCTTGACCACGACCACGCTTTTGCCTCAGCCTTCGTCTGCTTTTGCTCATCTGATCAGGTACCGACTCATGCTCTTGTTTTTTGACTCTCTTTTTGGATCACGTACTGGATACTTCTGCTGAACAACTGACTTCACGGTATGAACTCTGCCTTTCCCTTCTGACTGTTTTTTGGATCACGGATTAAAGGTCAAGCTCATTCTGTATCACGGACTTATCCTTACCCCTGAATCTGATTCCCACAGATTCATTTCCCCAATTAGTCTTTTTCCCCCTGCATCTACTAACCTTTATCTTTTAGTTGCAAGCCTGTTGGACTCTGTTCCAGTGGACCTTAACATCAGTTCTACTTCTACTGGCAGCCCGCCACTACAACACTACCCAATCTCGAACTACCAATCAGAAGATCGGAACCAGCCCAGAACCGGACCTACTCCAGAGTTTTACTTTATTTCACAATAAATCTTTTAACCCTCTCAGTGGTTGTTGTTGTTGTTTGCGGTCCGGCCTCTGGTTCATGACAAAACCTCAATAATCTCAGTAAAAACTCAAGACTGAATGGCTCTGTGGCTAATTCACTGCTCCTAATATTAATTTATATTTAAATAAATATTTCTTCTGTGCTTGTTTAGTCGTACAGAGAGAGTTACAAACATTCAGATTTGTTAGTTCAGTCAACTATTTCGCGCTTAAGTAAAATTGTTCTTGATGATGCAGTAAGTTTTAAAATACTAAAGCAAACAGACGTCAGCTTAAAAATAAAAATACTGAAAACAGATTTTAACCTGTAGAAATAATCGTCTAAAGATGCACAAGCCAAATGTTTAGCCATGAGTGTAAGGATTAACTAAAATTTAATTAAATGTGAACAAACTTAACCCTCCCCAGAGGATCCACCCAGATCAATTGTCTCATTAAAACTCAAAGCCTTTGGCAACAAAACTGAGCAATAATCCTTCAAAATAAGAGCGGACAAGCTGCCAACCGCTTTAAAAAGTCTTTAAATTTGAAATGGACTGTTTAAATTAATTAAATTAAATCACAACTTCATTAATTAAGTTTTAAGCATTTTCTTTATGATTGTTTTAGACATTTGGGACATTTAAAGCAGAAAAAGTTAAATAATTTTTGCTAAATTACAAAAATGTATTTGGGAAACCAGGTCAACGCTGACACTTTGATTTTAGACACAAAAGAGTTCAAAGAATTATTTTTTTTCTAAATTATGATGAAGAAATCCCAATCCATGCATCAGTCGTATTGATTTATTTTAGGTTAATTTTACAAACTGAATATTTATTTGTTAAATGAAGCAGTTGCTACTTTTCTTGCCGTCAAAATGAAAGCATATTTTTTCCTGCGACTCGTTTAGCAAAGAAACAAAACTGAAAAGTGTCAGATTATAAAAGAAACAAAACTCCTCCCTTCCTCAGATTTTCCTTTATTGATGCTTTGGTCTTGCTTCCCACCACTTCCCCCGCCCCCCCCCCCCAACAACCTTCTTCTCTTCTATACCTTTTCTCTTTTATCTCTGCGTTCTGATTAAATGAGCAAACGGTCCAAACCGACCCGTTTAATGTGGTTTCCATTCACAGCAGCTGTGTCTCTTTGCAGAAGCAGCATCGCTCCTTTCTCCTCCTGCAGGGCTTTAATCCTCCTCCCGTCCAAACCCCCCTCCCCTGGTGTTTTTCCTCTGGTTCACACGCTGCACCAGCGTTCAAATGACTTCAGAGAGAAGAGTTTAAGAGGAAATAAACACACAAGGTTTAATCTCTAACGCTTCGATTAAAGAGGATGAAGTGACGGCGAGACAAGAAGAAAGAAAAAGAGGTTTGACTGAAGATCATCCTCAAGAAGAAGGTTTGTCTAAAACCGTTGAGAAGAAAAGATGATATTTTTAATGAAAAGTATAAAAATGCAGATATTCGATGCTGTTGTAAGCTGGAGGTCTTCAGTGGTTTTGTCTTTTTTAAACGTCTTCTTCTCACAGAACAGACTCTGTATCTCAAACAGTTGGACACGAATTAAAGAAAATGATCCAATAAAACAAAAAGAGAACATCAAAGGAAAAAGACTGTAGGCCTCAAAAAGGTCTTTAGACATCCATCCATCCATCCATCCATCCATCCATCCATCCATTCATCCATCCCTCCTTCCTTCCATCCATCCATCATCTATCCAGTCATCCCTCCTTCCCTCCTTCCTTGCTTCCATCCATCCATCTATCCATCCATTCACCTATCCATCCATCCATCCATCCATCCATCCATCCAT